ACCGTGAAGTGCCACGTCAGCATAGTAATGGTCAACGATAGAAACCGTTTGTTAAAGGGCCACAGTGATTTTTTTTTATAAGTTTGAGGGTTACATTAAGTGCAAAAAAAAGTACTTAGATGCCCTTTTGCCATAATTTTATTAGTCTTTCAACCTATAAATAATAATTATTTAAATATAACATCAACACTAAGAGTTAATATATAAACTATCATGCATAGTTGGAGAAGGGATCAAGAATACTCGATCTCTCATATTTAAATATCACTCTTAATCATTGACAATGCACACACATCTTGCAGACATAATTGTTTAAACCTAAAAAAAACACCCTTTTCTTGACCACTGAGACCACTTAATAAATCATATAAATACTAATTTTAAAATCTAAACTCTAAGCATTCACCTATAAAATACATTTCAATATTTTAAGTAACATCCATCTAGCAGAATCATTTCTCCCTGGGAAGGCCTATATAATATTCTTACAACTATGTCTACTTTTATGAGATGTCACAATGGATGGTTCCCGTGCAATACACAAAATGTGGGGACCCCGTATGAGAAGACCCCCCACAAGCACAAACGACGACCATCGATTGTGCCCAAATGACTGTTGATAATTTCACTCCCCAACCTCCAATCAACCCCTTTATATGCTTTGCTTTCTCCCTGAACCCTCCATCATAATGTCTTACAAAAACCTTAAACCAAACCCCAGTTCTGTTCTTGTCTTTGCCTTTGCCTTTCCTCGTCTAAGCATATCTCCATAGTGCTACATTTGGACACATAATTTGACCCAACCCATTTCATCAAAGAGAAGCATAGTAGATGTCTAAACATATGCACAAGAGCAGCATGTTCATCGAGCAAAGCACCGGCGATTACGAGAATGGTGGTATCCAGAAGAGCTTGGATGATGATGGTCGACCCAAAAGAACCGGTAAATGATAATTGAAGTACTACTTTTTGCTAATGATCCTATTATTTATATGTCATTTTTGTTTATTCGATGTGGCCGTGGGTTGTTTTTGAAAGGGACTTGGGTTACCGCGAGTGCTCATATTATCACTGCTGTGATCGGCTCCGGCGTGTTATCTCTTGCATGGGCTATCGCACAACTGGGATGGGTGGCCGGACCGGCTGTTCTCGTGGCCTTCTCCTGCATCACCTACTTTACCTCAACTCTTCTTGCCGACTGCTATAGAGCTCCTGATCCTGTTCATGGAAAGAGAAACTATACGTACATGGATGTTGTTAGAGCTTATTTAGGTATTAATATATATGTTTATTTAATAGTCTGGATAAATGCAATTACTCATAAGTTAAATTTTATATTTTATATGAGTTCACAAGAGAAATTACTTTTCTTTTTGCAGGAGGAAGAAAAGTTCAGCTATGTGGATTGGCTCAGTATGCGAATCTTGTTGGAATAACCATTGGATACACAATCACAGCATCAATCAGTATGGTGTAAGTATACACAGATAAACATATTATCATTGCTTTTAACAAAATTAATCTTAATTAATAGTCTTAATTACCTTGTAATAATCAGGGCTGTGAAACGGTCAAATTGCTTCCACAAGCATGGACATCAAGTGAAGTGCCAAACATCGAACTACCCATTCATGGCGATCTTCGCTTGCATTCAGCTCCTCTTGAGCCAAATCCCCAACTTCGACAAGCTTGCATGGCTGTCCATCGTCGCCGCCGTCATGTCATTCGCTTATTCGTCCATCGGCCTCGGTCTCTCCATTGCCAAAGTTGCAGGTAATAAAATCATGAATATATTTCGTTTTGAGTGGCTTGAATTAATACATCTAATTGTTTCCATTTGTGACATCAAGGTAGGGGACATGTAAGGACAACCTTAACGGGTGTAACAGTAGGGGTTGACGTGTCGGGATCGGAAAAAATTTGGAGGACCTTCCAAGCTATCGGCGACATTGCCTTTGCCTATGCTTACTCCACTGTTCTCATTGAGATTCAGGCAAGTATATATACTTCTACATTCATATATGATACACATACATACATATATGATATGCATACATATGGATATGCATAATTAGGGATGACAACAATTCAATTTAAATTAATTTTCCGAAAAAAAACATCCATTTTACGATGGATATTTCATTAGAATTTAAAAAAAATAATTTAATACGATTTGATTTGGTTGGATTATTATTTTTATTTTAAAAAATTAATTTTGGGTTAAATAAGATATGGTCGAGTTAGAATGAAATCGGATTAGATTTAGGTTTTAACCTAAAAATGAGTCAAGTTCCATGTGAATGAAACCCGTCTAAACTCGAGTCAAATCGAATAAAAATATAGAGATTTATTTTTTTGCATCAAATTCGGGTGATCTGGAAATCAGACTGACTCGACCCGACACACACCAACTCTAAGATTCCACTCTCTTCTTGTGTGTTTTAACTTTTGATTGTCTTTTGTCTCGTACCAAAAAGAGAGAATCAAGTTTGAGAGTGCAACCCCAAGAATAATCCGCAGCCATAGATAGGACACACCGTGCTTTCTTTTTTTCCCTTCTAAGAAATATGAAATTCTTTTGATTCCAGGACACGATCAAATCGAGCCCACCGGAGAACAAATCCATGAAAAGAGCAACCAGCGTCGGTGTTTCGACGACCACTTTGTTTTATGTACTTTGCGGCCTTTTTGGATACGCCGCATTCGGCAACGATGCGCCTGGGAATTTTCTTACAGGCTTTGGTTTCTATGAACCCTTTTGGTTGATCGACTTCGCCAACATCTGCATTGCTATCCATCTCATCGGAGCATATCAGGTAGAATCTAATATCCTCACAACACATAGCGGGCACAGAATTTTATGTTCAAAAATAAATTTATGAAATTTTAAAAGAAGGAAAATAAATTATTGAAAGATATGAGAATTTCAAACGTATTATAATATGATTTATATGCTTTCAGGTTTTCGCGCAACCGTTATTCGGCTTCGTCGAGGGTTGGTGTTCCAGGAACTGGTCGGACAACAAGTTCATCACCGGCGAACACGCTGTTGACATTCCGTTCTACGGCATTTACTACGTCAATTTCTTCAGGTTGGTGGGGAGGACGGCATACGTTATTGTAACGGCGGTCATAGCCATGATATTTCCTTTCTTCAATGATTTCTTGGGTCTCATCGGAGCGGGCTCGTTTTGGCCGTTAACTGTGTACTTTCCGATAGAGATGCACATAGCGCAAACGAAAATCCCTAAATACTCATTCAGATGGATATGGCTAAAAATACTGAGCTGGGTTTGCTTGGTGGTTTCACTCATTGCGGCAGCGGGATCCGTTCAAGGACTGATTCAAAGCCTCAAGACATATAAACCCTTTCAGACTCAAGGATGATCATTTGCCAACAATTTTAGCTCTCAGAAAATATGTTCAATAAGTCCGATATTTGTAGAAACTGTAATTCGTTCCCTTTTCTTCTGTATTTGAAATCCGAATCTGCTTGTAGCGTGTTACCTTGTGCCTTTTCATTTTTTCCTGGGTTTTCTGCCTTTAGTCCAAGAGTAAATTTGTGTCAGTTTGCTGAATCCTTTTATCACTTGTGAAAGAAACGAACCATTTGCATCAAATATGAAGAGAGGCTCTCTTAATAACCTTAGCATACAGCCTGTTAACACAGTTGTTTTATTTGCAGATCTTTAACAAAGGTTGGGACAGAGGTGATGGGATACCATCTATTGGCGATGGAAAAACACTACGGTCCCTGGATTCTCCGGTGTTATCGACACCAGAAACTCGGCGTCCTCCGAGTGGTTTGGTTGGGTGGACCGTATCGACTATGGGTGGTACTTTTACGGTGAAGAGTGGATACCCTAACCGATAATGAGCTTAATCCTCTGGATGCAAGCTGCATGGTTATATGGATTTGTCCACTGCATTTCAATCAAGCACTCTACACAAACTAAATTTGAGCTTCGATTCATTGTGTTCCTTGTTTCACAAGTTAAAAATATAACAGCAATTATGATTAAAATGAATAAGAATGTGTCAGAACGTATCATTACACTTATCATAATCATCTTCGAAAAATGGCGTTTGTGAATAAGAGAACCCAAAATGACTGGCCGAAACAAATAAAAATATAATATCCCAGTCTAGACATGCCTCATCATTCGTATGTCAAGTGTCGATCAAGCAAGCAAAGATAAAACAAAAAGTTTTAGCATAGTCTTCTTTTAAAATATTCTGGAATTGTTAATTAATAATTTTATTTCGTTTTTGGATGGCGTCATTGCCTTTATTCTTTCACAATGTTTTGTTAAATAATGCAAAAAGTTGGGAGAACCTTCCAATACATTATCACGTTATTGATGGAATTTCGAATGGTTTTAGATTCTTTTTCCACCACATAATCGGAAAAGCCCAGGAGTTGACCAGAGATTTAGATTGAGGTTGAGACCGCATTTTCGATCGTGTTACGTTTATCGTGAGTACATGTATAACGGGTGTTATTGCAGTCATTACGAATATCGCGGCCGTGAATTTTTTTAAATGAATTTATTAAAAAAACTGAATTTTTTCAAAAAAAAAAATGAGATAACGGAATAGCAGTCTGCTATTACCGTGATTGACTACTATCCGCTAAATTACAACCACGATTTACCCTTTTTGGTGTGATTCACGCCGCTATTTTCCACTATCCAACTTCTATTTGAATACCTGGAGTTGACCTATGTATATAATGTCTAGTTATTTTTATCCTAAAACGATGTAAAATTAAAAATAAATGAAAAATTGGCGTTTGTTCTCATGTCTAATTTTTGTATTAATTTAATCAATGTAATTTTCGCTTAATTAATCAAAGGTAGTAAAATAACTAAAATTTCAGTAACATGAAGACCAAAATCTTCTGAGATTTTTCTAAGTATATACAAATATATGATTTTGTATATAATATGTTAATTAATAAACATGAAACGATATATATATAGAGAGAAAGAAGTGACGCATGAGCCATGAACAAAGTTGCAGCAGTGTTTTCATGGCCTCAACCGGTTGCCTTAGCTGCAGGCAGCAGAAGGGTGAGTGAACAAGTGAGCTTTGGTTCTGATTTTAAAACCCGAAGCGTCTTCGCCGCCGTTGGCAACTCTCTCGCAGGAAGGGCACACGGTGAGGACGGCGGCCGCAGGGGGCTGCATACAATAAGATGCAGTTTGTTTCCATAATTTAAGCTCTTGTAGTTCCTTGTGCAAGCTCTTGTTCTCTTCTGTTAGCGTTTCACAACTTCTTTTCAGCAACTCACAATCCACTTCGGTCTGTTTCAACTTGGTCCTGTATAAAAAAATGTTAAATCCATAATTTAAAATTTTCAACACGTAAAATTTAAATAAATTAACAAATAAATAAAATCACCTGGCTCTCCTATTTTGGAACCATACTTCCACTTGCCGTGGCCTTAGATTCAACTGATCTGCTAAAGCTTGCTTCTTTTTCTGTTCAACACAAGAAACAGAGAAGCATTGAATACTTGTATTCATATATATATATATATATATATATATATATATTGGATAGAATAAAGATAAAATAATATACAGGATTGAGAGTGGTGTGCTCTTTGAAGCTATCTTCTAAAATCGCAGACTGTCGTTTGCTAAGCCTAAGTTTCTTTCTATGGCTTCCTTCATCATCTTCATCACTGACCCTTGAAGAAACCTTCTCAAATTCTACCTCCGCGCCACCGCCAAAACCGCTCTCTTTCTTCACACCAGAGTCCGGAAACGAAGACGCCACGGTGACAGAAGATGCTTGCCGGTGCAAATCGATCAACTCGTCATTGGCATGTGCTTTACTAGCATCATCCGATGAACCTAATGTCAGGGACGGGCAGAAAAGGCCATTTGCCATCCACGATTTCTTCTTCTTCCGTCGATGAGGAAAGGTTTCTTGCTTAACAAGGCAACCTAAACCTAGACTTAGACCAAGACCAAGGCCAGTGCTGCAAATATCATCAAACCCCATTTTTGTTTTAAGCTTGATGCCGCTCCAAGCTGCTAGGGTTTTGTTTAAAGAGAAGAGAGGAGATATCGAAGTGGTACTTCAAGGGGAGATTTGAACCAATTATATTACTAATCGAAGGGAAAGGAGTAGATTAACGAACAAAAATCCTCTGCCCCCTCTATGTGTCCCTCTTTATCCCCCTCTAATAACATTTTGACACGTGTTTTTTCTTTTTATGGCAACACATGTAAATTTCTAAAAAAATTTTGCTTTCTTTTTAACCTCATATCTTTTATTTACGAACTCCAAAATAAATTAAGAATTTTTAGGTTGATTAATACAAAAAAAGTTCAATTCGCAACAGATTTTAGTGTACCCCAACTGATAAATGGTATTCTTTTTCTTTCTGCAAGATTAGTACCTGATTCTCATTTTTCAATTCAATAAAATAAACCCACACCTTTGGATTTTGTATTGGTATTGTTACCTTAGCATTTGATTCTGGAAAAGCACAACAAGCAGCTTTCGTTTGTATTTTCATACAAATGCAAGAAACAAACTTTCGACTTCTCATACACGCCAATGTCAAACTCTTGTATTCATGTATATAGAACTAAATTCGCAGATTCGGGGGAGAGGGATGTCAGTGATGAAGATTATTTTGAGATCCATCCTCTTGAGTTGTTTAAAGGGTGTTGTGAAGCCGGAAGGCAAGTCGAAGAAGGAAGATTCAAAGCAAAGTTCATTCACAAAGTTTTACATGTTAGACTTAAGTGATCCAAGCTCGATGTTTTTGGAAGATTCATCGACCTCGTTCTATGGTTTTAATCTTCATGTGTTTACACTTGAGGAGCTAAAAGTGATAATACGTAAGTTTTCATCGATTAATTGTCTGGGTGAAAGTGGGTTTGGAAAGGTTCATATATGTATATCTTTTCCAAAATTTTCTGTAAAAGTAGAATGTAGAAGAAGTAAATCAGGGGAGTAATTTAAAAAAAAAAGGTTTGTGTTGCCATATAAATAAAAATACACGTTTCAAAAAATTATTAGTGGGGCACAAAGTGGGGGCAGAAGATTTCTATTCGTAGATTAACGAATCATCTCCTCTTATATTGACCATTCATAATATAATTAATAAATAAATTTTCGGTTTGAAAATATTATTATTTGAACATAAAATGGTATTCTAATGAAGAAATTATTAGATGATCTCGGCTCACAACGTCATCTGTAGTCTCAATAAATAATATTTGTCCACATCATTTTTTTTAAGGTGAATCTTTTCCTTTTTCATCTATGTAAATAAAAAGAGGGTGATTACTTGGAAGTTATTTTAAATTTTGTGGTTGTCCTTCATTGAGACTATGGATGATATGGTGAGCCGAGTCCACAAAATAAATTTTCATACGAGAATAAAATACGGTAATTAATTAAAGGGGAGGAGAGTGAGATGGACAAGCAATTATTAAGAGGCAATGGATGTTGATATTTAGGGAGGTTAAATGAAAAGGTGACAATATTTTTCATACGAATAGAAATGAAGATAAAGACACGTGATGAGATTGTGTGCTTGTTTATGTATACCTAGTCGCAGACCACCCAATATGTCCCACTATTTACATATGCCTTACTTCCCTAACAAGATTATGCACTCTTTCTAAACTAACCTAGCCCCCTATTTCCATATATTCTCCCTTCTATAACTGTGTTTGGGTTTAATTCATTTCGAGAGATGAAAATTAAATTATAAATTTCATAAAGAATCGAACGATATACATTTTTATTGATATTTTTAAACGAGTAAAATAATAATTTTACCAATATCTAAAGTAGTACATGAATTAGGTGACTTTAATGATTGAGAGATTTGTTGTTATTTCTTGAGGTTTTAGGTTCGAACATGACGCATGCAGGGATATGAATACTTATTGTCAAATAATTGATAATCTTTGAATATATATTATCTTATATTGACCTCAGATTTATCATAAAAAATATCCCGGGTAGTGTTTGAGTACACGAGAGGAGTTGCTTATTTGAACCCTAGTTCCTAACATCAACAAAAACTTTATTTCAATGAAAATGTTGTTAATATTATGTCACATACTTAATTTACAATTATTTTTTTTCAAAATCAAATATAAATATTTTATGATATAAATGATCATTAATGTTAACTCAGGTTTTGTTCTGTAATACTCTTCAAAGTTGTTTTGGAATAAAAAGCATTTTTGAAATAAAAAAACAATGCAAAGTGAATGTATTTTTACTCACATCTTCTCTCAATTATCGGCCAGAAGAAAGATAAAACATCATTCAGTACATGAACTTCACAACTTCTCTCAGTTAGACCCATAAATTTGTATTTTTAATTATTTTAGTGATGTAACACTGAGATTATATCATGTCATCACTTAAAAAATTATATATAAAATGTTCAAATAATGATGTGATATAATACCAGAGCATCACATTATTGAAAGGACTAAACGTCTAAATTCAAAGATCAAATTAAAAAAAAAGTGATCAAATCATGTGACTAATGTGAAAAAAAGATAATTAGAGACTAAATCAAGAGAAGTTATTAAGTTTAGGGAGCAAGTGTTGATTTATCCCATATCAATTCAAGCGTAAAACTCCTTAATGTTTAATTATTTTTTTCAATAATCAATATGATGGAGGAAATACATTCTACACCTTTATTAATTGTAATAAGAAAATAACGTGACAACGATATACAACAAATATAAGGGTTTTAATGGCAATTTAACACTTGGTATACATGGATAGATAACCTATTTAAGATTCCATATTATAAATTTCAAAGATGATATAATTATTCGAATATAATTGCTTGGCACAAACATGGAATCGAAAAGTTGACGTCGAGTTTCGAACTAATTCATGCAGTTTTTCAAATATCTTTACTATTTTTCAAAGCCTTATATTATATTATATTATATTATATTATATTATATTATATTACAATTAATTGTACCAACAGAGACTGTTCAATTGGTAAGTAGCTTGATATCGCTTAAGCAATGTTTCAGGTTCGAGTCCTTATGAATGTAGAAAATCTCCGTCAGGAGACTCACCCACCAAAGTTAGGTGTACGATCCGGGTCGATCCAGATTAGTCAAGACGAAGCCTTGGAACTGAAGGACAAAAAAAATACAATTAATTGTGGTTCACCATTTTATTCGAGATGAAACTAATGATGTGAAATCTTGCTTTACGATAACCATTTTCGTGTATGAAAGGAAGAAACCAGAAACGATTCCAAGGGATATTGATCATTACGGAATATTAATGCTATTTGAAGCTTCCCTTTTTTATAGGTTTCAAACACATAATAGTTTCTGAATTTAATAAATTTATTCTCTCAATTATTTTTTTTAAATGAATCATTTAACCTTTTTTTTAATAGTATAGGTGATTATAGGGTAGTATATGTTTAGAATTTTCTTAATCAATTGACAATGCACACATAACTTATAGATGCAAATGCTCGAATACAAAATCTCTAGGGAGAAGAACTTTCCCTTTTACCATTAAGGCTACTTGATGGGTTCAATTAATTATTAAACTTAATAATTCTGATCAAATTATTTCTTTAATTTTTTATATTGAATTATAAATCTAATGATCCAATTAATATTAAAAATAATTTAAAAATCAAGTTGATCAAATTTATTAAGTTCAATGATCAATTTGACCAAACTTACAAAGCTCCAAGGTTATTTTATGTTATAATTAATTTTATACAAGAGAGATTGAAGTTTCAAAACAAGAAAAACAAAGGTTATAAAGGTTGAAATTCGAATTTAACCCATTTGACATGGCTTTTTAAAAGCACTTTTAGGTAAAAACACCGTTTCTACCGTAAAATCAATGTTAAATGTGTAAAAAATGGAAAAAAAACTATGGTGGAAACTGTGGTTTCAAACCAACCATAAAAACTAGGATTTCAAGTTTTTTCAGTTTTAACTTTGCGTTTGGAAACAAATTATAATTTTATACTTACTAATACATGAGCTCCACTCGATTATGTATTTATATTTTATTTTAATAATTTAATACTATCATCCTTAAAATATAATTTATTACTTAATAATTTATTTTAATTACTAATATTTTTTGTAATATGCTTTTTGTCTAAACAAGTATTTAAATTATTATTTCATAATAATTTTATGTCCACATGTTAAAAAGTATTGAAAATATTTTTTTCTTAATAAAATAATTCACATATAAAAATATTATTAATTTGTTATCTTAAAATATTTTTTTTATATTTTTATTATAGTTTAAGTTGATATATTTTATATAGCACAATATTAATAAGTGTAAATATAATTTAAATGCTACATTGTTAATTTACAACATAATATATGTAATGTACATTTTATCTTTTCAAACTCACTTTTTGACAACAATCTTAAACAATTAAATTTAAAACTACACTTTCGTACAACACTTCTAAAAATTCGTTTCCAAGATACTTTTAAAAATCACTTTTTAAAAACTGCGGTAAACTGGCCCTAAATATCAAATTTTAAAGACCATTGTATGAATTAATTATAAAAAAAATATTTAAAGAAAAAGTATTAAAAGAATAATTTAAAATAAGATTAACGGCAACCAACTAGTTTCATGAACAATCCTATATTTGGATTTTAATTTCTAGTTTAGTCTATAATTTTTCGGATATTGGTTAGGAATAAAAAAAGGGGTTAGGCATTAAGTTATATAGGCTTCTCCCCAACCCCATTGATATGCATTGTGCCCAAACATTAAAAAAAGGAGATTTTTATGAGATGATGTTAATCTCGCATAGTAATTACGTCTTAAATTTGTATCTCTCATATGTTTAAAGAAGGATTTTGGAAACACAAAATAAATATAATGTGATCTTGATCTTTAAAACGAATTTAAATGTCTTAATATGTGTCGTAACCGGTTTTTGTCCGGATACGAATTTTTACTTGGCGAGAAAAATAATGTGTATAAAAAATAATTTTGATTTTAAAAAATATTTTGGGAGTCGCCATCAGCCTTTTGGATTAGGTAGGTCGAATCCATAAAAATCATCTTTTAAAAGAGTTTTTAAGAAAACACCAGTT